GACGTTATATTGGACCAATTTTGTATTTTTTTTTTAAAAAAAAAATGAGTTCTTCAAGTCTCTCTCATTCACTCAAAGCCGAAAATGACATAATAAAATTAATTTACTATGAATATGATGCGAGAAATAAATATTAAAAATAATTTTATAAAAATAAATATCGGGTGGAAAAGTAAGGGTGTTGATGAATTTTAATTTGGGGTGGAAAAAAAACGATATAATTGCTAATTGAGTGGTATTTATTTTATTTTCTAATATTTTTACCGTCATTAATTAAAAAAATTGACAATTATTTGAATATTATTTAAATTAAGGAATAATTAGAAATAATATTAAATAAAACAAACCAAAAGACATAATCCAATTTATCAAAATAAGAAAAAATGTGAGTATGCTTACAATAATACTAATCCGTCTATACTTTTAAATATTAGTATAATGTGATAATTTATATATATCGCTACAAACTTTATAAAATAATACGAATTAAGAAAAAAAAAAAAAAAACCAATCTAAACTATTTTTTTTTTATTACTGTCTATTTTTAATTTTATAATTTTTTATTTATTAATTTGATTTTGACAATTATAAATTGAAAAATCTATTTATTTATGCAAATTACATCTACATAAAAGATTTCAATTTTAAGCATAATAAAACAAAATTTGACATCAAATTAAGTGAAAATAGACATTTGCTCTCACTTATTTATAGTAAAATATATCATATATTTTTTTTGCATCTCATTTATCATGAACTAATTAAAAAAATTATTTTATACACCTTTTGTTAAGTTACCCAATTAAATAATTATTTTATGTAAAAAAATCAAGTTAAACTTTAATTTACAATAAAAAAATGTGAAAGAATTGTATGTTAGTTATATTTATCTTTTATAATTTATTAAAAAATAAACTAAATGTATTGTTAGGAAAGAATGGTAATATACCTTTTTAACATTTACTAAAAACTTTTTAAAAAAATGTTTCTAATAAAAATAAATTTAAATAATTTTTATCACTTACTCTTTGAGAAAATTACAAATTTGGTCCCAGAACTTTTGCTGTTTCCCACATTTCGTCCCAGACTATAAACGTTGACTGTTAAGTCTTGACGAAGTGGGACCATTTTGGGAACGAAAATTCAAAAAGAACCATAATTGGCGTGTCTGGGACCAAATGTGGGAAACAGCAAAAGTTGTGGGACTAAATTTGCAATTTTCTCTCAGAATATTGTACAGAACGAGCTGCGGAAGTCCACTTATGTGGACCATAAGCTCTTTGAGGCTCATTGCAAGAGAGAATTTTGTTGATGACTTGGTTTGTGAATGTCAAGAAAATGGCTTAAGAAATCAGAAGGAATATGACAAAAATGAATAAAGTCGAGGCACGTAAAGTACGCTCTCCTTAAGACGAAATAGCCCCGTATATTACTCCAAGATACAACGACTTCGATTTGTGTATAGCGGTAACTCAAATACACAAACCTTCGGCGAACAATACTTAAGTTTCGGAACTCTCAAGATAAGAAAGAACACAAGATGAATATGAACTTTGTAAAAAAAAAGATGCAAAGACTCTTGGAAATTTGATCATTTCAATGATTTCATGTTTGTGGGTATTTATAGATGTTGGGAAATACCTCCAAGAGGTTTAAGTGTCAAAAGACACCTTTTGGGACGTGCCCGTACAAGAACGGATGCATCTAGTGGCCAAAAGATACCTTATGGTCACCAAGGGTTGCAATCCTTTGATTTCCGCAGCCAGTTGCGCGCCCGTGCGCCGCGTGCTCGTACGAGCTCATACAGACTCGGAATCGAGTTCCGTTTTTTTCTACTTGTCCCCAACGAGCCCTTCTACAATTCTAGCATACATAATGCATAATTATGACTCGTTTATTTTGTCCAAACATTTGTCAAAACAGAATGTTTGTGAACCCTACAATCTTTGAGTTATTTAAACTCAATTAATTAACATATAACACTTAGAATTAATTTCTCATTCACCTTAAAAAGGTTTTGAGAATTTCCTAAGTCTTCTACTTACGAAAAATAGAATCGTTAAATCGGTACAAAACCAATTTTTCTTACAATCCCCCACATGAAAGAAATTAATGCATGTATGCAACACTTGAGAGTTCCGGCGAACCATCATTGCATCAGGATAGATAGCTTGTGGCTTTGAATCTTCCTTAGTGAAATACTATCGGATACACTAGCCGGTTAGTAGCATGATGCTTTGAACTTACCGGCTGTTTGTGTGCACCAAGACAATAATACTCACACAACAACAGCTCTAACACATCATTTAACCTATAAAGATTTCTTTGCTTCGAGATGTGAATGTAGGCGGTGGGTGGAATTGTTCTCAGTATTTTGTTCAGATTTTTTAGGTAAGTATATATTTAATATCAATTAATAAAATCACACCATTTAATCTATCCTAAAAAATGCTGATGAACAGTTATATTTGCTAACACATCATATTGGTATATTTGTAATATTATTGTGTTTATTGAACTATTTTATAAATAAAAATTAAATGGATATATAAGTGTAATATATTTGTAATATGAAGGGATAGAGTGTAAATTCCTCTTGTGTAATTCCCTCCTTGTATCATTGGGTCTGGCCGGTCTTGGGTATTGATTATTTTATTTTACAAAATATTGGATAGATTTTGAATTTAGTAAAATTAGTGACTAGAAATACTACCGCTCAACATTTATTAATTAAATTTTGCAATTTGCCTCGACTCAATCTGGATTTGGCTCTCCGTACCACCTCTTTTTTGGTATACTTTTAGCATGTAAGTTTTCCACTTTTAATGGTCGTCAAGCAAATAAACATTTGTGAAGTAAGAGGAAAGGGGAAACCCGACCAATTTAAAGACAATCCAATTCTAATTATGTTCATAATGTAACTTACAAAGTACACATGCATATTAAAAAATGTACCTTCGTTTTTAACTCATGAAGTATTTTGGGTTTAAAACATATAAAAGGGCACATATATATTTAATTCTGCTCCTTAGCAAGAATGTCGTAAAAGACCTCGGGCTTCCTGTACTCTGATTTGCATATTGCCTGAAGACCAAAAAACTTATGCATAATTTTCAAACAATAATATTATATGCCCAACTTTGATATACAATATCATTATTTTGAATGGGAATAGATAGTCAAAACTTACTTGTACAGCAGACGCAATGTAAATCAAGAGAGATTCAGACCATGGCTTCCCGATAAATTGGAGGCCGATAGGCATGCCAGATCTATCATAACCAACCTGCCACCAAAGACAATTTTAAGTATCCACTAATTATAATTATAATTATATGAAAATGAAAGGAAAAGCATAAATATTATAGTATAAAATAATTATATTATGACAACATACGGGAATAGTGATTGCAGGCAATCCCAGGAAATTCCCAGAGATTTGGTACCGTACTAAAGCAGCTGAAATTATCATGCAAACGATTAGTTTTCACTTGCTCTATTCACTCATAATTTTTAACATATTAGCAATTGGGACGAACAAAAGATGTTGCCTATTAATAGTAGTGTACAATAATATATAATCGCAAAAATTTATAATTAATTACCTCCATTTATGTAGTCCAGTTCGCCTGTTTTTAGTGCGTCGTCCTCTATTGTGTATGCAGTGACACTAATGAGCAGACGTTGATTCAGGAAAAACAATACAAAAAATAGTCTTCTTTAATTTCTCGGGGAAATTAATATTATAAATCTTTTATAAACACAAGAAATTAAGAAAATTTGTACCCAACAGTTGGAGTTACAATGACATCTGCCATAGAAAATATCTTCTGGTGAAATTTTAGTTGGCGGTATCTGGGAAAAAAAAAGAAAAAAAACAAATAATAATAATAATAATAATAACAACACATATAAAGATTTAATTATTAAGCTATATCTGAAAGTAGCACCTCATTTTTTGTGCATTCAAATACTCGTTGCTGTGAAAAGAACCATATATCGAAAGGCCTACTCGGACGTCAGATCCCACCTCAGCCTTATCCCTGTTGAATTTTTTCCAATTTCATAACTCTTCATTTGATTTTGCAATCCACAGAAAATAAATAAATAAGAATAATGAACTAAGAAATGGTAATTTTGTTAAGAAAAAGAAGAATACTTACAATTTCATTAAGTGGGTTCCGATTGAATTACTACATTCTGATCCGATTGTAACATAATGCGACAAGCGCATGACCTCTATTTCCGGTATGGTCACCTTTACAGTCTTCAGAAAGGAGCAAACAGTGACTATATATTAGTTTAGCAAATACATAATTTTAACTTTTCATTTACGAAGATTAGTTATATATTTTTTGTGATCATAATATATATTTATTGTGATATGTCGAGTGGAATTCTTACCGTCCATCCATATTCGTCTGATAACTTGGAAACAACGTTAGAACAACAAACTCTGATGTCATTAGTGCAGTCATCAAACCACTGATGGAGTTTATCAAAACTTGAGCAGTTAAGTAGTGCCATTTTTATCATACATTAGATTTAGAAGAATGTGAAAACCAAAATAAAAAGAATAAAAAAATGCCACACCTTATCGTATTTCGCCATTTTGATGCTAGAAGACGCGTAGTTTGTGAATTTCAACGACGACATACCAACTTTTGGCTGATTAAATTCACAAGAGAAAAAAAACGGTACATATTATTAAGTGATTAGATGGGATAAACAATATTAAATAAAAGAAAAATAAGTAATGAAGAGTATATGTACTATTTAAGTTATGGAAATAAGTTTAAGTTGTAAATCTTCACAGAACAAAATGTTGTAATACCAGTTTGTGGCTAGGATTATCCGATGAAAGGTCCCCAGCAATAGCTGCATAACTAAGAAAATGAAATTTTCCCTTTAATATTTTTCAAAATATGTGTTGTATATAATGTTAACGTGGATTAAATTAATCAAGTGATGAAAACTTACGTAATGAGTGCATCCTCAACAGTTGCCGCAAGAATTCCAACCATGCCAATTGTATAGTTTACAGGAAGTACTCTGTACTTAAATACAAAGTTTATTAAATAAAATGAATGTTTTGAACAAAGCAAAACTTGATGCTCACCCTTCATGTGGCACACGTTCAAAGGTCGGTTTAAAGCCGACCACTCCACAGAGTGCTGCTGGAAGCCTTACAGATCCTAACCAAATCAAACGAAAAAAATAAATAAAAAAAAAAAACTAACACAAAGCTAATCACATTCGTTAATTTACGCTCATGAGAGAAATTCATCATAAGAATCTAATAATTTTTCGGTTTTATATATATATATGAACAAGTTCAATAAAAGGTTCACATGGGATTATATATGTAGAGTACATAGCAGCATTTGGTTTAAGGAGGACAAGTTGTTACAATTCTTTTTACGCTGAATACGAGTTAATAATATAAAACTTGAAATTATGATCCCTATTTAATTCTTTTTATTTTTTATTTTTTTAGGAAAGTGATACAAAAGTCAAACCTCCTCCATCAACACCAAGTGCAATGGGACACAATCCAGCAGCCACCACAGCTGCAGAGCCACTCGAAGATCCTCCCGTAATCTTCCTCTTATCATATGGATTTCTAACCGCCCTTTATGCAATCCAATAAAAACACAATTACCACAAAATCTAAGCAGTAGAATAAAATAATTAAAAAAAATATAAACTTAAAAAAAAAAATATATAAGTGGTAACCATATTCGCACCCATAATGAGGATTTATCCCGCTAATTCCTGCCCCGAGTTCATGCATGTTTGTTTTGCCAATTATTATTGCACCACATGACCTCAAACGGCTAACACAAAATGCATCCTTTCTACATTCTCTTACTTTGTGCATCCATTTTGTGCCTCCTGCACGAAAACCAAATTAAGCCCTCCTCAGGAAAACAGACAATAAAACTAAAAAGAACAAATAATTGGATCACAAGTGCAATGTATAAAATAATCGGCAAAATAGCATTTTTAATCCTGTTGGTTTAACGTTATAGAAATTTTAGTCCCAAGGTTCCAACATTTTCGTTTTTGGTCATGTAATTTAATATTTTGCTACAACTGAAATTGCAACAAATTATCAGATTCCCAGATTTTTTTATTATCATCACTTAAGTCCTGTAATTTAATATTTTGTTGCAATTTTAGTCTGTAATTTAAAATTTTGTAGCAATTGAGGACTGAAATTGCAGCAAAATATTAAATCACATGACCAAAAGACGAATTAGAATCTTGGGACTAAAATTGCTATAACGTTAAATCAATAGGACTAAAAATGTATTTTTGCCGAAAATATAACCTGTTGTTGGATAAGGCATGCAGTCGATTTCATCTTTGATGGCTACTGGAACTCCATCCAATACAGAAATTTGTTCTCCTAGAGGTAACATTTATTCACACAGAAAACAAGCATTTCAAAATAAAGCAATCCCATTTTAATTTATTTTATTTTGTCTTTTAAGGTAGAGGATATGTAGAACTAAAACGAACCTCTTTGATAACGAAGACTGGACTCATTTGCTTGCTTCAAAATATCTTCTTCAGAGAAGTTAATGAAAAATGACATTGGGAGCTTCTGACTTGACGACTCATGAACACGAGCGATAAGCCGTTGTGCCACCTGTCGGCCCCCAAAAAATGAAGAAATGAAATACTTGTTGATGAAAAAAATATATATTCAAGAATACTTAATTATTCCTTTTTGAATTTTTGATGTACCATTGTAGGAGTAGTTTCATGTGAAGAATAAGCCCTGGCATAGTCCATAATTGTCTGGTAATGAAAACTCGAAAGTTGTGGAGTTTTAGGTACATTTTCTTGTGATTGAAGGCAAAACACAGCTTGTTGGACTCTTTCTGGTGGGGACATATAATGATGCTCAAGGCCTTTTACGTCTTTCTCCTCAATTTCTGTCATAACAACATAGATTAGACTAGCAAAGCTCATAAGGAAATCATTATACCAAGTAACATTATGAAGGCTAGTTATTGAACTCTTAGATTGTTCTGTTTTCATTATGAATTTGCAAACTTTGCCTTACTAACCTTCATATAGGTGTGAAGGAACAAACAATGGTGGCTCTTGTATCTTTGCAAATGAGACAAGCTGCAAAATGAGGTCATCTCTTATAAGATTAATGTGTTTTAGAACTAATCCTTCAATTTGAGTTTGAAAACAAGATCAAACACCAAATTCATAAAAGTCAGATGAAAAAAATTGCATTAATTGACATTATTTGTTGTCATCTTACAAAACTATAACATAAAATATAGTTTGTAATAATTTTTCACAATCCCTATTTTTAAACAATTTAAGCATGCTGGAAGTCATTGATTATTAACTACTTACTAGTAATAACAAAAAAATAAAGTCAATTTTAAATTTTTTTTTTTTTTTAAAATACTTTATTATTATTATTATGAAAATGACACCATCCTTCTTAGTGTTCTATGTGTTTGCTTTCCTAGGTTGGTTCTAAACTAGGGGTGTTCACGGTCCGGTTTTAACCAAAAAAAATCGTCAATCCGGACCGCGGATCGGTTAAATGGTCAGTTAAAAAAGCCTTAAAATCCGGTGGTTAATTTTTGTAAATATCCGGAATAACCGATTCGGTTAACGGATTACATGCGACAAACCGCCGGTTTAACCGGACCGGACCGGTAAATATTAAAAAATTATAACAAATATATATATATACATTCAGTCATTCACTATGACCGACAAATACAATACATTCACTATGAATGATTTGCTCTTATTATTTCAGGTGTATAAACTGACTGAAAAATGATTGCTTGCTTGGGTTCAGTTTGCATAATTTAATCTTCATCATTTTTGTATTTTTATGTTTATGGGACGAAATGTATATTTTTATGCTTATGTGACAAATTGTGTATTTTTTATTTCATTATTATTGCTTTTCTTAATTTTTAGTCCCAAATAATCTCTTTTGGGCCCAAAATTGAAAAATAAAAATTAAGTCCAAAATGAAAAGAATAAAAATTGAAGGCCCAAAACAAGGATTTTGGATTTAACCGGTTAATCGCCAAACCGGACCGTCCAATGCGGTCCGGATTATGGTCGGTTTAAAAATAAAACTGGTCCTGTTATGGACAAGAAAAAAAATTAACCGTTAGGTCCGGTTTGGTCATGGTTTGGGCTAAAATCGGACCAATCCGGACCGTGAACACCCCTATTCTAAACTACATTTAGTGTAGATCACTCAACTAGATTTAGCTGGCTCGCTAGTTTATTCGGATGATTAGTTGTTTTCTAGTATGTACATGTCCTCCCTATATATTAATTCAAAACGTGGTCAGCCTAAGTGGCAGGCTCGCATGCTTCGGGATCCTATGTGGCAAAATTATATGCTTCGTTATTAGGTTCGGGTAGATTTTAACTTAGTTCCAATCCAAGAATAACTAGTACGTGGCCCGTGCGATGCACGGGAAAATAATATTTTGATTGTATTATAAATTAAATAAATAAATAACATTAATCATGATTTACCCATTATTTATAAATTAAACCGGGTTGGACACAGTCCGGCCGGATGGACCGAGAACTGGTTTATAACCGATTTAGTGCGTTTGAATAAAATATTTGCTATCAAATCCGCCAACACCAGTATGTTGGACTGGTAAGATCGATACAATTTTCTAAACAAATTTTGTTACATGAAAATTATTTTAAATAAAATTACATATTTAAATAAAACAGAGATTTATAAATTTTTTATCAATTAGTTTAAACATTTGAATTTATAAATTGTTTAGATATTTAAGTAACACTTTTTATTTAAATTTATTACAAAAAGTACTATATATATATATATATATTAAAGTATTATGTATTAAAATCTGAACAACCACAAGACGGTCCGATTCTGAAAACCTTATATTTACCGTACATTAATAAAAATGATAATGAAATAAATATTTTGTTCACATAAATAATAATAAAATGATATACAAATATTCATAAATCATTAATCATGTTGTCATAAAAGTATTGTTAATATGATTATCTGAAGTTTGGACTACATCACATTCACGTAATAAAGTATTTTCAATATTAAAATTTATATTTAGGTTCAATAATCAATTTGGTCTGGTCAAACTGATACATAACTTAATTACCTCGGACCAACCAAGTTATGTCAAGTTTTTTGACTATTTTAAATATCACCTAAAAGTAATTCAATCAAAGTGGGCAGTACCCTAATTCAATCACCCGATTGATCCAAAGTAATTTCCTTCTTTTCTTTAAATATAATATTTAATTTTATGAAATAAAAATATTTTATGATTCATATGTCTACACCAAATGATAGTATATTAAGATTATAAATTATATATCCAAAGATGAACTATTAATTTTTATTTTATGCATATTAATAAAAAATAAACATAGTAATTTTAAAAAAATTAAGATTAATTGATTGGGTATGCAATTTAAAAAATATTTTTAGCGTTCAATATATATATATTTAATATGATTGAATTTTTAGATTAGAATATATATATTTAAAACAATTTTATTATTAAAAGTCAAAAAGAAAAGATGCCATAAAGATTACAACTTTGAAAAGTTTGTAACCATTAATTTATGAACTCTCCGATTTTAAATGATTTATAATTTTTGAAACATGATACGTGGATTTAAAACCCATTCATTTAGGAACCATACAATTTTTTGATAATGAATTAAAATTAAAATGTAAAATGTAAAAGTTGCTGAAAATAGTATATAATAAATGTGGTTGACTTTTCCTTACTACTATTTATGGTAAATGTTAATTCTTATTATATATATATAGATTAGGTTCGGATTATCCATAAATATGTTTATTATTTATAGTCATGTTACATGAATTAATTGCATTTTAGTATCATTTCTTATTATAACCATTGAATTGTAAATGTATTTCAAAAGTTGATAACTTTTATATTTTTTATCAGTTTTACATATATAATATATCAAATTAATCCTCTCTTGATGAGCTTCGATTTGACATCCATATTGTATGTATAAAAAAAATAAATTATATTTATCTTTATACCAACAATAATTTTTTTTAATATTAATTAGAAAAATAAATTATTCATCAATTTATTTTTATCAATTAATAATTTATATTTTAAATAGCTACATGATATAAGTTATAAAAATTACTGTAATATAAGACATGTAAGTCGCACAAGTAACAAGTGTCATTCTAAAATATATAATAATATATATCTTTTGTAAAAAAGTAAATAAAATTTAAGAATAATTCTTTAACAATCACCCGTATAATACACGGGTGTTGTACTAGTGTATTTTTATCTATGAATTCTATAGATATAAATATAATTATTTACTTATTTTATCATACAATATAGATGTCAAATCGAAACTAATGAAGAGATGATTGATTTGATATATTATTTATGAAAATTTGATAATACAAAAGTTAACTTTAAAATTATATTTACAATTTAAATTAGTAAATGTATTAAAATTTTCTTAAGAAAAAAAAAAAAGATTGAGAGAAAAAGGAAGATTAAGGAAAAAAAAAATTCATGTCTTGTATACAACGCCCAAAATAGGAAATTATGTTAATTACAATTTATGCTCATAAAAAATTGTCATATATATTCAATATATTTATAGGTAGTTTCAAGTATAATTATTTATGGATTGGAAGTAAATTAAAGGTATCAAAGCCAAATGAGGAAACATGAATATTTGCCACATAGGATCCCGAAGCGTGCGAGCCTGACACTTAGACTCAACACATTCTAGAATTATATATAGAGGGATATAACATCACAAATTCTTGATATGAGGTGGCCTAATAATTAGGCTGGTCAATTTTGTTGGAGTATAGAAGTTCGGCTTTGTGTTACTATCAATTCCATTTTGAATGAGAGCTATGTTTTTAGTCAAGTATATATTCGTAGTTTATTTATTTATGCGAATATGGTTCTTTTATTTTACATTGTAGATAATATGGTTCGAAGTGTCAAACATAAAAATCATATTATCGGTTTCTTGTAAAATATAAATATTTGCTCATAAGCCGTCTATTGAATTAACTGTCATGAAAGACTGTAGTGTGATTTTCAAGTTAGTTGATCTTTGACTAACGAATTACACTAGAACATCTCGGATGTATTGAACGGACCTACGAGAGGGTAAGATTATTTTTTACTGATCTTCCAAATCTCACTAATTGTTGCGTTCTCTTAACCCGTAAGAAAATAAACAGGCATATGTATTCGATTATCAATAGACTCCATATTTTGGTAAATAATGTCGATTACATGTTGTGTCGTTAAAATTATTTATGGTCCATGTTCGGTGCGCAGGGTTGATGACGTCCTCAAAATAAGCTCAATAAAGAATATTATTTCAAGCCCGACCGGCGGATTAAATTCCGACATTAAAGAACTTAGTGGTACTAATTTCAGATAAAAAAAGTTGATTAATTATATTATCAGTAATTAAATTAATCAACAGACGTTATATCGTAAACATGGGGAGGTAAATCGACTAATTGGCTGGTAGACTAATTATTTATAATTAGAAAGCTAAATGGTGAGTTCAATAATATTTCTTTGGTGTAATAAAATATTATTCAAGTTGAATGGAGTGGGTCAGACCCACAATTGGATTCATATTTGGGAGCAAATATTTAGCACCTCCTTAGGGTCTCTATTGTAGCCTATAAATACACCAAGTCACATAGCCCCTCATTAACAGAAACATTAATTCACATTCAGGGATTAATGTGAGAAATATTTTTCTCTTCCTTGAAAACTCTGCCAAAATCGAGAGGTACAAAGGAGAGAAATTTGTGTGAGGTTTAGGGATCCGAAAAGTCTCCCACCAAGACAACTCAGAGTGGTGATCGGTCATAGAATAGAAGACACCAAGGTTGCCTGTTCGTATCCCGACAAATATATTTATCCCCACGAGCCATCCGACAACCACCGTACGCGGCAGTCCTGACCACCGCACGCGGCGACACCCCGACGACAACGAGGTGTGCACATCGAAAGTGGCATGCAGAAACAACTCGACGACCAGTCCCAGCGCATGGAAGCCCGACGATCCCACCGATGAGACCCGACGATCCTCGACGATAGCAGGCGAGGCGACTCGGTGATCCATGGCAGTTGACTCGGCGAGCTCTGGCGACTGGCGTACAC